CTGGCCACAGCCTCGGGAGCCTCGGGGACCTCGGGGAGTCGGTGGGGTGGTGGGGTGGGGGTTGGCCAGGCCGCGCGGGGTGGTTGGCCGGAGGGGGCCATGAAACGCAGCAAAGGGAACAGAGATCCTGGGATTTGGGGGCGGAACCTGGACCTGTGACTAACGCTGGGAGATGTTGGGAAGGGTTGCCAGCTGAAATGGGCGATATGGGGAAAGCGTAGTAGACGATATTCCGACGCATCGGATGACCAAGCCCATACCCTCACAGGGTACCTCTTTCCAACAATGGAAGTGGACAAGGGGCCTTCTTCAGAGGATGGTCGTTTTCAAAGCCTTGCTGTCCACTTCCATTGGAAAGGGGGTAAAGAGCGTAAGGGCTTCACAAATCGTCATTTGGCTGTAGGGGACATGGTTCAAAGCCAATGGTACCATTTTGGGATAGGTGAATTCACCACCCATTTGAGAACCTGTTTTAGTGGTTGGATTGGGATGAACAAACTGGGGGTACGATTTGGGTTTTCACGGACTTGAAGCACATGGCTTCCATGCTCCCTGTGCGACTGCGCGCAAGCGACTGCCAGGTATAGACTCAAAGAAAGGGGCCAAAAGCAGGGTCCAGGGGTAGGTCTAGCAATGTCTCTTTGAAGTGACTTGCGCAGGACTTTATCAGTGGCTTGTATGGAAGACTTTGTACACCCACCTTTTTTTTTAAGAGGAACTTTATTTGCGATGTTTCTCCTGGCCTTATTTGCGATGTTTCTCTTGACTGGAACCAAACCAAACCGAAATTTTGAACCAACCATCCGCAAAATGAGGTGAACACCATTCTGGTTTTCCCTCGGCGGCGGTGCAACATGTGACTTGGGGGGATTTCTGTGATAAGGACATTTCTCCCAGCGATCAAGTGATGGGCACGATTTGCCAACTTTGTATCATGGAATTTGCGATATTCCACCAGCGGCTGTCCTATGGAAGTTTCTGCAATGACCCCGGAGTAATCAACTTTCGGCTTTATTGATACGGGGGGTGTCCCCTTTAAGAGGGGATCCACATCACTTTTGCAGCGCCTATTTATTCATCCGGGGTCAGCATCATCTCTCGGCTTCGCGTGCTCGAACGAATGCCAAGCAGGTGTCGGGCAACCGTGGTCTCAGTCTCGCTCGGTGAACTTTGGGGTGCCAGTAGAAGGTTCCTGCCGAAGCTTTTTGGGGGACAGCCGGACCGGTAGAGACAGAATTTTTGGGAATCTCTCTTTTTTGGAGCAGCCCTCATGTGTGCAACTCGCAAACGAACTGGTAGTTTGTTCGGGAGGACGAGGTGGGCGCGCCCCAATTTCAAGGGTTACGCCCCAATAGGACACTCTTGCAGGCAGGGCAGTCCTTGTTTTAGTATTTCAACAAACAAAAATACACAACATACTTGGCCTACTGCACAGTTCAGGATTACTCTTGGATGCCAAACTGGTTGCAAACAAGGGGTTCCTCATGGTTTCCCTTTCAAACAGCCCCAAGAAGGCCCAAGAAGGGTACCTTCAAAAAGCACACACTTGTTTGACCCACCCAAAAACAACACACCCAAACGGATGACGCTGCTTGCAAGGAAGCAAATGGGTCGTCAAACCATGATAACCCTAAAAGTGGATCTCGTTCTTCCTTTCGGGTTTCCAGGAAAAAGCTCCCAACAGCTCCAATCTCAGAAAACCCTTGGTTGGGGCGTTGGATTGGTGGTTTGAGGATTTGGGTGTGGGTCAAAATTAAACCACCAGGCGACCACAGGTTTTAGTCTTTGGTCCCATTTACTTCAGTTCCATTTTGGGTACCCATTTTTGACCCACAGCCATTTGAACTTTTGCAGGTTCAAGAGTCTTGTGGATTGTAAAATGGAAAACCACCCAGGAGCACCTCCAGAAAAACAACCGGGCTCCAAGCCACTAATTAGGGGGAAGCTGATTGGTTCGCCTTTGTCTGTCTGTCTGTTTGGTGGTTTGTTTGTGCGGCTGTCAGGGTGTGCGAGATGATTGAAACCCCCCAAAGAAGGGTACCCTGACAAAACGCACAACATGGGTTTGTCTCTACACTGGGGCACCTTAAACCACCAACGGGGAAGCTGAAAAAGGGTGCCCGACTCTTCCGAGGTGGCGAATCAGCGTGCCGGCGTGCCGGGCCCCGAGATGAATGAGACCGTCAAGGGTGGCTGGTGGGTGTTTTTCAGGGAACCCTTTCCTTGGGTTGGTGTAAAGGGACACCAATCGATTTTTTTCTTGGGGGGGTCCTTTTTTTGACACATATGTGAGTTCTGAGTGTGTTTGTTCTGCCTTTGGGGAGTTTTTGAGGAGGGATAGAAAAGTTGTGCCCGGAAAAGGTGCTTTGCAAGCCCATTTCGGAGGACTCAAGAGGGAGTCGAGCAAGTTGGGACTCAGAACGAGAGAGAGAGAGAGAGAGAGAGAGGAGAAGGATGTGTATGTGTGTATGTGTGTATGTGTGTGTGTGTGTGTGTGTGTGTGTGTGTGTGTGTGTGTGTGTGTGTGTGTATGTGTGTGTGTGTGTGGGTGTGTGTGTGTGTGTGTGGGTGTGTGTGTGTGTGTGTGGGTGTGTGGGTGAATCGCTACAATTTTAGTGGTACTTGGGAGCTCACCTGTGATTTTCCTACCAGCCATTTCGCATCGAACATTGATGGACTATTAATCAGGTAGGGCATGGTTTGATTTGGGCAACCCCCCGACACTCATTCAATTCGAACCATTTTCTGAACATCAAACGGAAAGCTGCTGCCAGTCGGGGGTATTCACAGCCGTTTCCAAGTGCAGGGTCCAATGCTCCTTAGCTGGTGGTTTAGGCTGGTTTGGGGATTTGAAGCTCCGCGTATGGGAAACCGCTTCGCAACCTAACTTAAACCCCAACCAAGGTGACTGAAATGGACGCCCGAGAGCTGTTGTTCTACACTGGGTCTCCGCGGGGCAGTCGCTCGCCTCATTTTGCTGCAATCTTTTCTGACCGAAAAGGAGGGAGGTTCAGGCCATAGGTAACTTCTTGGTGGTTTGGATTGGTTTGGATTTGGACCCCTGGCTCTTGCAGAGGGTCAATGGGAACCCCCTTAAGCACGAAGCCACCGATTCGGCTCCAAAACCAATTGGAAGGAAGCTGACATGGAGTGTGAGGAAAAGCTTGGACGACGAAACAGTCGAGTTCCAAGCGATCTTCCGGGAACGATGTTCGAATGTTTGTCAGCCCAGAAAATAGCTCAAACACCTTCCGACCGTTGGAGGCCAGCCACGGCATAGTCTTGTGTTTCGGTCGATTTTCCGGCTGGTTTCCAGGTCATAGGTTTAGAAGAAGTGCTCAACCCCCTTAGATGTGTGGATTCGAAGCTCGGTCTTTTCAGATCCTGCCAGTGAATTCCCGAGTTCAGATGAGAAACCTTCGATCTCTCAGAGACGTTCTGGGAACCCTCCGAAGCTTTCGGGCCGGAGGTCGGTGCTTTATAGCTTCGATGCGCCCGGGTGTCGGTGCCTGAGAGCGAAGAGTCAAGTCTTTGCACCGATTCTGGTGCGGCTGAGGGTTTCTCGTGGGATTTGGGACATTCCTTTTGGTTGGAAGTTAGCGGGACACCAAAGGCAACCCGTGCCATTTTAGATGGCCACGCGCAAAGGACATTTGATGCCAATACTCCCGCCAATTTTGCGGACTTATTGAGTAAGGGGGGGGGGGTAGAAGGAGACCAACCTGTTTGCCTCGCCAAGTTTCCCTCACCAAATTGAGGGACCAAACGTGCCATGTGAGCAACCGTCCATGTTCATCGTGATCTTTGTAAACAGATGGCATCGACCACAGTCGCCAAATGGCCACAAGACAATCAATGTTGTTCGCCATCTGATTTCACCGGCAGGGGGGGCGGCACTCCGAGCCGTTTCAAGATGATCAACTCGGAGTAGAACATTTGTCAGGTGTCCTTTGGTGTCTCTTTGGTATGAGGATGGTGATATCACTCCAGTGCAACAAAAGAACCCGTATAAAACGTCTAAAAGCTCAAGGTGCATTGACACATCCAGACTTTGGTGTCTCAAGTGCCGCTCGAGGTCGCCATGGGTTGACCCTGCTCGGTAGCCTCTCACAGCAATTGACTCCTTCCAGTTCTGAGATCCTTTCCTGTAGGGGGGTTTCTTTAGTTTCCTCCCGAAGGCATACATATACACATGGGTGACAAGCGGTGGCAGTTTGAGGGCTTCTCAAGAGTTTCCCTTTTACAGCCGCAGAAGACCCAGCCCGGTGGGGGGCAAGTTATGGTAAGTCCCTGTCACTCATTCATTGTTTGTTGTATTTGCCAGTCACACGAAATGCAAGTTGACACAAGCTGAAGCAAGTCCCAAAGAAGATGTGGACGAAAGCAAGCGAGAGATAAAAGGAAGGAAGAATTAGACAGCTGGACGAGTTGCTCGACCAAAGACATGGGACCGGTAGTCAGGGGCCCGTAGTTAAAGACATGACAGGAACCACATCGCTTGCGAGAGCAACGACCTGGATAAAATGTCAGAGACGGCCATAATCAAAGACATGAAAAGAACCGCAGCACAATGACCGAACACATGCGCACAAAACAACGACCAGGACAATCGGAGGGCTTGGAGCGCTTGTATCGGGGGATGCACAAAGACACTGAAGTCCTAGCCAGCACCCCAATGTCTATCAAATGGCTGTGGCTCAAAAAACGGTTCCAAAAAGGAACCCGGGTAAATGAAAACATGGACCAAAACCTGCGTAACCCCTCCTGTTTAATTTTGAGCCACACCCACATGGACCCCGAAACGGGGAAGCTTTTGGGCGGCTGGCAGCCATGGGGTTCCAGATTGTGCTGTTCTTGTTGGTGGAGGATTTGCTGGCGCTGGAAGTGGTGGCTGTTCTGGTGGTGTCAGTCTTCATCGTTGTTCCTTCTGTTTTGTTTGTTCTTCCAGTTGCACTTAGTTGTTAGTTAGTTATTATTTTCTTAGTTATTATTTTCTTTTTTATGTTTTTCTTAGTCTCTTTTGTTTGTTTGTTTGCTTTAGTTATTATTTTCTTCTCCGGAGGGTTTTAGCACCTGGGATTCGGATTTGGATTCGGCCGCCCTTCAGGTCCGCAGCTGCTGTGCCGCGTCGCCGACTTTGCCACGTCTGGGCTCCCAGTGAAGAACTCGACCCCGGGAAACCCTCCATGTTGGTGTGGCTCAAAATTTAACCGGGGGGTTACGCAGGCTTTGGTCCATGTTTCCATTTGACAGGGTTCCATTTTGGGTACCGGTTTTTTGAGCCACAGCCATGTAGGTTTAATGCTCGGGGATCTTAAGGCAGAGTTTCTTAAGGTCTGCGCAAGGTCCATGATCCTGAAGGGGGTGTGGCCTACACATGATTGGCTTCTTGCTGGCTTTCGCAGACCGAAAAAGGAGGGCCTGTTTTAGGAAGCCCTCCATGTAGGTTTGATGCTCACTCAGGGATCCTGAACGTGTGCCAACCACTATAGTTCAAGCCATATGGGGTATTTTTGGGTTGGTTTCGCGAGAAACCAAAAGGAAACCGCCATATGGCTGTGCTTGTCAAAACCGTTTTGGATCCCATTTTGGTTGGTAGGTGAATTCATCACCCATTTTAGAACCTATTGTAGTGGTTGGATTGGTTGATGTTCACTGGGGCTACGAAATTTGGATTTTGACCCATGGCCCTATCGAGCGCAAATCCAGCGGAGCCCATAAGGCCCGAGAGCTTCCAGTTGGACCCTACAGCTCTTAAGGGGAAACGAGCATGGAGAAGCAGCCAGAGAATTTGTAGAACCTTAGGAATCAACTTCATTTGGGGAGTAAAAGTCTTGGGCGGTTGGCCTCCCCACAAACATGGTTTGTTGCAGAGTCCCCTTTTGGAACCCCTGTGCACGTACAAAAAGTTTGGATCCAGTCTCGATGCTGAAAGCCAAGTGCCAACATCACCTTGACTTGGCGTTTGAGGGCATCCGGCATTTAGGGGGCGCCTTCCCTTTTGGTTGTAAATGGAACTGGGGTTCAACTCACAAAACATACCAATCCAAACCACTGATGACTAATTGAGGGAGACCAGACAACCCTCCGCCCACTAAGATTCGGCAGTCAACCCAACCTCTGATGAATCCAAGGAGGTCCTACCGGTTGTCCCAACCCAATCCTGCCTGTCGGCGGGACAACCATCCCTTGTGCGCTGTTTTAGGGTATTGCCCATGGGGAGGTGTTTTGCTAGACCAAATGAGATTTGATCCAAGCTGGCTATGGCAATGGGCGGGTCTCACTACATTGCCCACAGTGGCTCAAATGTCCATGGGTTTTCCTTCATTTTGAAGGACAATCGCAGTTTTCCTCGTTTGCAGGGGGCTCACATTCAAACCAAGCCAGTGTATATGGCCCTAAAAAAGTGGTTGAATTCCTTTTGGTTTGCCTTCAAGCTTCAAATACCGCCAGACTGGGAGTCCCATTTTTTGTTGGACACCCGGTCTGTGTCCAAAATATATGAAATACCATATTGGTTCAATTGTCACAGGTTTAGGACGGAAAAATTGAATAAGAAGACGCATGGTCCGACTCGAACAGAGGACCCCCCAAAATGGTGGGTTGTCCTTTTGCTTTCATTTCCAACCCAAACCTTGACCCAGCCTTCCTGACCTCGTCAGTTCGCAAGTCGTTCGGGTCTAAGCCTCTTTGACGCCAGAATAATTAAACGCCGGAACAACACTACGACCCTTCTGCAATCCACGGATTCGGCAAAAAACGCGTTCTGCCTCCAGCGCCACAGGTTGAACCCAGCCCCAGTTTGTCCGGTTTTTGGAACCCATGAGGCGCCCGGCATCGGAAAGCCCGCTTGAAAAGTGCCAGACACCAAAATGGCGGGCATTTTTCCTCGAAGCATGGCTTGGACCTGTGCGAGCAGTCGGATTGGACCTGTCGCCAAGGCCGGGTGTGTACAAGGTCACCTCCCACACTGAGGCCCGGCAAAGGAAAGCCAAGGGTAGGAATGGGTTTGTGTCAAGAGGTTTTCATACCAACCAAAGGGGGTCCGAACCCATTTCGAGAAACACTGAGATGGTGAGATGAGGAATGCACTTCTTCGGATTTTTCCATGGAAGCCCCAAAACCATCCATTTGTAGAGGATCTTTACCTGGTAAGTGGAAACATGGACCAAAACCTGCGTAACCCCTCCTGTTTAATTTTGAGCCACACCCGTATTGGACCCCTTTTTCGGGTCCTTCCGGAGAGCTCGCTAGACTTGCCCAGTGACTCGAGGCCCTAGCTGATCAGGGGCTTCCCATAGAGGGAGCGCGATAGCTAGGGGAAGCACGCCCTATTGATCCCCCACCCACACGATTCCCATGCATAGGTGTCCTTTTTGCTTGTTTTGGTAGAAACATAGAGGGCGATTCCTGGTTTACCCGGTGGTTTAATCATCTACCAGGGCCATCTATTTGCTCAAAAAGGACATCTATGTTCCCATGTGTCGAGGGGGGCAATGTTTTTGTAGCAGCCGACCTCTCGAGGTTGTGGAAGGACAAGACCTGCTCACCTCACGCTCTCTCGCCTCTCTCTCTCTCTCTCTCTCTACTTCCCTCCCTACCTAGAACGCCAGTTGCCTTTATTTTCCAGCTTCTTTGACCAAATGATTCACTACTAATAGTGGGTAAAGTGGATGGGAAAAAGTGGCTACTTGGAATTCCCTCCCCACCAACTGCCGCGTGAAGCGAGGAAACGAGTGGAGGACGTCGATTCGAGTCGCAGGCGAACCGCCGCTTCCTGGCGATTGCGAACTTTTGGGACTGAAGCGGAAAAATCGAATCGCGTGCCGGGTCTTTGCTTTAGGCGCGTTAGGCGATGGATTTCTGCCTATGTTATTGCGACACCTGAAAGTAGAACGAGCTCACTATGGGGTTCCCTTTTATTCAGCTTTTGACATTCTTCTAAAAACAGCTCATGGATTCCAATAGATTTCCGGTGCACGATGTAAATTGACCACGAGTGTCCTGCAAGTTTTCGTTTGCGAGGGTATTTCGCGGCATCCTGGCCAACCCTTCCATTTACGAATGTTTTCTATTTTGCCCTCTTGCTTTCAAAGGGAATCGATTTCACTACTGGAGATATTTTGTACGTTTCCCGGGATTTTCTTCACCAAATAGAAGTTGATTAGGTATCCCTTGGTTTGGATTGGGGATTTTTGCCCCTGGCTTTTGGAGAGGGATGGAAGAACTTTTTCTTTTTTTCAGACGAAGCTTCGTATTTTTTTGTTTGTTTTGGGCTGGCGACGGCTTTAGCGCCGCCCAACGCCCAACGCATGGCGTGCGCCAAGCGCGCCATGCGCCAACGCTCGGCTTTCGTTGGCAGTGGTGACCTGCCGATTTTATGGCGAGCGGTGGGGGTCAAACGAGCGAAGCCCATGATGTAGGTCCTTTAGCTAAAAGGATCCTTCCCCCCACTCGAAATACCTGCTTTTTTCAGGGTATTGTTGGGAAAGCCTGGTTTTCCATGGTAAACACCTCCTTTTTGGGTAGAGGGTCGACCTGATACCCTGAAGAAATGCCGGGAATTTGGAGGGGGTTTACTTCAGGTTTTGGGGTCTCAGGAGCTGAGCTTATTTCCTATTTGGATTTGAGGGGACACGGTCATGACGGCACCCGACCGAGGGCGTCTTGGAAATTTTTTTTGCAGGTGCCCTCCCCACAGATTTGCCCTTTGCTAAGGAGAGGAAGTGTACCGTGGTTTCCGAAGCCAACAAAACATGCTCTCGCCGACATGGAACCCACCTGAAGGGCCCTTTGAACCTTTTTTGAGGAGATGTGATTTGTTCTTGCGGTGCTCTTAGGCAACTGGAAGCGGGGCAATTCATGGGATCGCTTCAGATCGCCGCACTTTTATGGCTCCTTTGTCAGCATTCGAGCAAATGTGGAGACCATGCGAAAAAAGAGAGCTCATATTGGATTGGATCATAAATCGCGGATTCTGGGAACATATTGGATAAATCGCAGCGGCAGATTCTGGGGTTCCCTGCTCCTTGTGGCATGTCGAAATTTCTTCCGCCACAAAAAGGGGCGTCCCAAAAAGACGAGAAGCACTCCGAGCCTGGCGCGACTGGCGCGACGCCAGCATCCCTGGAGATCTCCAGGCATGAGGGCGAGGGTGGGGCTGAGGGTGCCATGTTAGGGGCTCAAAGGAAGGAAGGAAATCATTCATTTTGAGACACCGAAGGGTGGATTCATTTTAGGTTGCATCTAGGGTGCCATTTTAAGGGTTCAAATTATTTTGAGACTCCAAAGGGTGGTTTCCCTTTTTTTGGCAACCACTCACCACTCGGCTGATTCTGAGGATGTCACTATGGACCCAGATGAAACAGCTGCTGAGATGTCTCCGCTGAGCCTCAGAGTCTCCATTGTTTTTGTGAGGGAACTGGCAGATGCAGTGGAAAGAGACATGAAGGGGATGCATGAAGAGTTTGTTTGATCTTTTTGCGATGAGTGTTCAAGAATAGGGGGCCTTAAACATCGGAGTCTCCCTCCAAATCTTCCGCGTCTGCGCTTTAGGCAGCCTCTGGCAGTCTGGTCCCGCGGGAAATCATGCAGGTGCCGGTCGGACCCCTAGAGTGAGCCAGTGACTTGTGGCCTGCGGGCGGGGCGGGCCCCCCCCCAAAAAAAACAGGCTGCTTCAACTGAAAACACCTGCCCCCCCCCCAAATTACTTCGCTTCGAGCAATCCCCACCCTCCACACTCACGAGCTTACGACCGTGAACACGGTTGTGTGAATTCAAGCATGGTTTTCGAGTGGCTTGGGGCCTATGACAACAAGCTTTGCATTGAGAGCCTTATCCACCTGTCTGTGTGTCAAACTCCACTTGTCTGCGAGCCGATCTCGAGAACTCAAACATCGGCTCCGTTAACAAAAGCCAAGCCCCTTCCAGAAAGACACCCGACGGGGGATTAAACGAAGTTGCTTATTCGCAGCCCAAAGCAACACAAAAACATCACCCTTTCCGAGCGTCAGGGTACACTCAAAACAAGAAGGCGCCAACATGAAATGTAAACCCAATTGTGCGCCGGGCGGGACATTAAGCAAAACCAGACTGGCGAGCTGCTCTGGCGGGATACTGGCGGGATCCACTGGCGAATACTGGCGAGCCGCTCCGGCTCGA